CATTGACTTAACTGGTAGTAACACCGAATATTAGAAGCATAGGGGAAATAAGACAACATGGGATCATAAACGAAACTCACGTTATATTAGAAAAAAAGGAGCCTGCTACTTCATCTAATCACGCCAAATTTAAGCGGTCGCCGGGGCGATCATAACAGCCAGATCGGAAATGCCTCCTAGCGACCTCGAAGCTCAGCCGAGCGTCAACTGCCGCATACCTGATCCGTTCAAGGGTCAACGGGAACACACCCCATCCGGACCTCCTCAACTTCTCGCACTCCCCGTCCTTGCTGAACTTTGTTCCCAGCAAATAGTTTGCCAAATCAATCAACGACGGCGTAGGCTTGGTGCAGACGTTCTTCGGGATCTCGACGCGCTCCTGCGGGTCGAAGGAAGACGCGATGTTCAGCCAGTAGTAGCCCAGCATCTCCTAGTCCTGCTTGATCCCGGCCCCGCAGAAGACGATGTCCCCGTCGGCGAGAAACCTCCTGAGCATTGCCGGTACGTGACTTGCGTGCACGATGTGGTACACCAGGCACTCGTTGGCGACGCACAGCTGGAGCACCGCGGCGCGTTGCTTCTGCTCCTTGGGCAGGTCCTTCTGCCTCTTCCCGAAGACCGGGTTGGTGAACTCGGTGTCTAGGCCGACGAGCTTCTTCTCGGCGTCACGGAGGTAGCTCGCCCACACACGCGATATCCACGCCTCCACCGTGGATGGTTGGATTGTGACGGTCGCTTTGGTGTCGATGCCTTGAGTGGCGAAGTGGTACGGCCTTTCGTCCTTGGGCGGCTGACGCGCCATTTGGAAGCAGCTAGCAAAGGCTGGATTCCAAGGTAGCGACGACGATGATGATCCCTCTACGGTGGCAGGCTCGAGAAATCAGCGTACGTCGAAATAATGAAAGAAGATGATGGATTCGCCAGGTATATATATAGAGAGAGAGAGAGCATGGTCTCACGTACGCGTAGGTAGGCGTACGAGTCGGATTGGGACTAGTCGCACACGAACGCTTGATTCGGACACGTATACGAGTTGGATTAGGAGTTCCCTCCGGATTCCGTCGTCCTATGCTCTACGTGCTCCCGAAATAAGTAGTTATTGTGTCCTTGATCCATTTCGCTCGCTGCTGGACGACTGGTGCACGCCTTTCATTCCTGCATGCGACGGTGGCGCTCCTCGGGGCCATGCACGGCAACTCACACGCCTTGGTGGGCCCTGACATCCCGGCCTTCGACATCGTGGCCGGCGAACGGTACCGCATGGACTGCCGGCTGCCCCTCCTCGTCTCCTTGGCCGGCTAAGGCAAGCTCTTCCCGTTCAACGATGTCTCCTCCTGGAGGATACTGGCCGCCATTGTACCCGTGGGTCTGGACCACCGTCCGCTGCTCGAGCCGTTCAACGATGTCCTACCGCGGCATCCTCTGCTACGCCCTGCACCCCAACGGCCACACCTTGTTCGTGTCCGCCCAGAGGTTTGCCGGCGGCGAGGACGGCACCTTCTCCTCTTCCTTCGACCAGCTGGAGTGGAGGCGCCACGATGGATGGCCCCTCCTGCTAGTGCTGCGGATGCTGCCGTTCCACGGGAAGCAAACAAGCATAAGGCCATATTTGTTTCGGCGGCCAAAGTGAAAAAGCTGCAAAAGAAGAAGCAAAAGCCCAAACAAACATGGCCTAAGTCCCTTTTCAATTTATTTTGCAGCACACATGCATGGGATTGTGACAACACCTTTCTAACTAATATGATTGATGCTTTGATGTACCAAGTGGTCAGCTTGGTAGGCCACCAGCAAAATAAAATTGCAATCAATGATGGACGCTTTGATGTCTTTTTCTTAACACAGTACAATACAGACTACAGACACAGACGCTCAATTCATCCATATGAACGCACGCACGAATACCCTACCTCTATATATGGGCACCTCCAACTGAATGAGTCAGCACATTATCTTGAGATTGACGAAGTCGCCACACACACCTTTGTAGTCGACGGGAACGTCTCCTCCCACTGAACATATATCGCCGAAAGGCCTGGAATAAATCCAGGAAATTGCGAGAAGTAGTGTGAAGTCTATGACTTAAATCCTGGCGGACTAGGATACTACTGTCCTTCTAACCAACCACAAATTGGTTCGCAAGTCTACGTTTGGTCAGTTTGGTCTTCATCATAATTGTCAAAATTGCAAAAGTTTGGCCCCTCATGTTAAGCTGAATATGTTGGGACTTCTATCTATTTACACTTAGAAATAATTGGCATTGATACCCGCCTGATCGAGTTCTATCCAATCCTTTTCAACTAGAAGGATTTTCATGTTCGAATCACATTATTTTTTTATAAAAAATGACTCGGATCTATTATATAGGTTCATTAGAATTACAAAGAACCCATAACGTAATAGAAATTACACTGAGGTCTCTAGACGAACAAACAACCATCGCCGCCACCAATATGAATATGAGCCGTTGACACGCCAAAGTCACCGCTCCTATACTGGAGTCGACTGACAACTGAAAAGTCTTCGTGTATGTGTCCTTAAGGACTGGTGCCCAAGGGCCTCAATTGCCACCGTTGAAGGCTTGTCCCTGGACGACATTTTTTTACGGAAAGGAAAGAGTCACGTATGTTTTGAATGGTAATGTTTTGAATCGGTAGAGGACCAACAGTCATCCACCTATTAAGATTGTGCAGGCGTGCAACAGAGATGAACGGACGATCAATTGACACCAAGGTAAAAACAAGCACAACAAAACAATCCGCCGCCCAGAAGGCCTAGCGCGCGCATGGTGCTCCCAAAGGCCGGGTAGCACAACCATGTTTATAAGTAGAATGATAGTTGTTGATGTGTATCTGAACTGTATCTTGGCTTAAAACTTGAGGCTGGTAAGTGCACGATTGAGTTTCTTTGTTGTTTGGCATCCAATACGGACTCGTACGACTTCCACTGCTACGCCTTCCCTCATCAGATAATTTCTCTGCATGTGTCGTTTAGTCCTCGCGCAGCCACTGCCACCACATGTGGCTTGCTGCTGCCAATGTTGGACGCCCGCCAACCGGCGCTCACGTTCTGAGTCAGCGAGCGTTAGATCACCATACCTATAGGAGGAGAAGGCGACGGCACCCATGTCCAATTGATAAAATTGATGGGAGAGTTAGCCTGGTCATAATGGGAAGTAACTTAGAATAATAACATGCATACATTACTATTCTATGTTACTACTTTTATAGTGGGAAGTGTCTATGTGTAATAACATATACATGCTCATTTATTGTCTGTTAGGCTCATTTTGCATTGGAAAGCGCTATGTGATGGTAACATATTAGATTGCTCTATTTGCCTCTCTCCTTATTAACTACTTGTCACATCAAATTTTTTACTTATATGGCATCTATGTTACTACCTCCGTCCGGGATTAGAAGTCCGGTCAGGCATCTTGCCCCGTCCGCATTTGCTAGGCCCGTGCCTTAAAGCTGCTGTGTTTTTCTCTTAATCTGTGACATCTCTGGCGAGCTGATTGGGCATGCATATGCATGCATGCAAGGAAGAGAAACAGGCTGGTGCATGCACGATATTCATTGGCTGCATGCGGGTAAGGCAGAGAAAGCCTGCACGCTTTGGGGGAGAAAAAGAGGACGCCTTGGTCCTAGAGAATCGGTCGGCTGGTCTTAAAAACCGGATGGAGGTACTACCTATGTTACTCCCACCATGACCAACCTTACAAATGAGCTGGGTCGTAGCCTTGTACTCTCTCAATTAATATTCCTTAATATAAGACCTTTATCTATTTGAAAATATTGACAACGTACATAATAAAGTAAGTGAACATACATACTAAAATTTGTCTAGATACATATGAATAAAAGAAAAAGCTAAATGGTCTTATATTAGGGAACAGAGGGAGTAAGTAGTACATCCATAAGTTTGGACATGATTTTATCACCTAATAATTATAATAAAAATTCTACAGCAAAAAAAAAACATGGATGGTGTAGAACAAATATTGAACATCAGTTGGCTTTTGGCGATGTTGGACATCATGTTGGTTCGGTCTACCTCTCTGGTTCGGGCTTTGGTAGGTTTAGCCGTGTTGTAATCTCTGTTTGGCCTGAGCATTCCTTGTTTCCATTGCTCCAAGCATCCCTTATTCGTTTTGACATTAAGAAAATTTAGTGTAGATTGTTGAAACTAGCCAGCAGCTCTAGCTGGCACCAAGGTGTCTGTGTCCGACGAGAAGGTGTCTTCCAAGACTACGTCATTGTGACAATATAGATGAGTTATATATTTTTATGTCAAAATGAACATATGTGGACATCTACTTATTGAAGATGTTACACTATATTACGACAATAAGGGATATTTTGGGAATGACATTGGAAGGCCGGTACCCGCCCGATTGTTGATGAACACACACCCATCCATTTGTTTATTTTTTTTGAACATCAGTACAGACACAAGCGCTTATATACACGTGCATACACTCATCCCTATGAACGTACATACGCACACCCTACCCCTATGAGCACCTCCGAAAGACTGAGCCAACATATCATCTTGAAATTTACGAAGTCACCGTAGGCACCTCACACGCATCCATTTGTTTTTTGCGGTTGAAGATGCCTTTCCTGTAGAAAGAAGATCAGTTTGGTTAGTTGCTTAACTCTAAAACTGGCCCAAATGTATAGAAAGAGAACACTTTCACATAAAGGGAATTTCGACTAATTCGATAGAGCTGCCATTCGGCATGAATGATGAGCTAGATATCAAAATGGAACTAAGAAAAAGACAAGGAACCAAACCAAACATTTGCTCGGCAAAAGAAGAATAAGAAAAGCAATCTCAACATTCATATGCGTCCACGTGTCACGGTCTCTACCAAAAATAATGACACGATGTGTGTGCCCGTAGCAAAAGGCCACTAGGCGGGCAGGCAGCCGGTGGAGGAGTCAAAGGCCGAAGCTTTGGCAGCCATGGCCATGCCGTCCACCGCGTCTTGCTGCTTCGCCTCCTCCTCCTCCTCCCCCCATGGCCGCCCCATCCGCCTCCGCCTCCTCCTAGCCCACACCACCACCAACTGGACCCCCGCGCGCATCCGCCTCGTCTCCCGCCCCGCCCCTTCCCGGAACCCCCTCAGGCGCTCCTCCGAGCCGGCGCCCGGTGTCGCCGGCGACGAGGGAGAACATGTGGACAGGGAGGTGGAGGAGGACCGAGACGAGCGGTACGGGTTCGAGATGGAGGTGCGGAAGCTGCCGGGGAAGAAGAACCGGCGGCTGGTGCGCGCGCGGGTGCGGGTGGGCGCGCCGCTCCAGGCCGTCTGGGCCACGCTCACCGACTACGAGGGCCTCGCCGGATTCATCCCCGGCCTCTCCGAGTGCCGCCTCCTCCACCAGGACAAGGCCTTCGCCCGCCTCTACCAGGTTTCTCCTCTCCTCTCGCCCAAGCAATTCGTCGAGCAGGTCGTGTGCGATGGTCTGATGCATGATCTGGTTTGGTTCCTGTGCAGGTCGGGGAGCAGGATCTGGCGCTGGGGTTCAAGTTCAACGCCAAGGGCACCATAGACTGCTACGAGGGCGAGATGGAGCTGCTGCCGGAGTCCCGGGCGCGCCGCCGGGAGATCGACTTCAACATGGTCGACGGCGATTTCAAGGTCTTCCAGGGCAAATGGTCTGTCCACGAGGTAACATGATCATACTCTGTTGTTCTTGCTCAGAATTCAGATTATCAAATCAGTGGTTAGCGAGTCGAATTTGTGTACTGCTATGATGCCATCCTGAATTCATCAAGCTAGTGTATCTTTATTGATTTATCGTCCCAAGCAGCCTAGGATTGCATTAATCCAAAAAAGGCAGCTAAGTAATCTTGTTCGCAATTCGATACCATGTAGGTTGATGGTGCCACTGATGAAGGTGCAGAAGTTTCATCGGGGCAGGAATTTCAGACCACGCTTTCGTATGTGGTGGAGCTGGAGCCTAAGCTCTGGGTTCCGGTCCGGCTGCTGGAAGGGAGGATCTGCAAGGAGATCAAAACCAACCTTATTTGTATCCGAGAAGAAGCAGAGAGGATCCAAAGGTTACTGGACGAGGTAGTAATTGTGACAATCGCAGCTGCTCAATTTTTTGTCTTGCATGTGCAAGGCATTTCATTACGTCAAATGTCATTCAATATATCATCTAGTACAATACTAGAAAGAATCTTAATAACCGATGCAAACATTTTGGATTGAGATGTGTACTTTCCTACTCCACTTGTATTTTTCCTTCTTGGAACCACATCCATTTTTTTCATACACTGTTGCCACATCGTTTTTAATTTCAGTGTCATGTATTTTCAGTGATAACTAGGATGAACCCTGAAGGCTTTCTTACAATGCCGTTATTGATTATAGTTCTGTGTATGCTCCTTAACAGAGGTATGTTCAGCCCGACTTCAGTTATGTTGTTCGATCCTTGTGATTGAAGTGCCATGAGTCTGATGGATGTCAGTCTCACAGGGAATCAGGTAAACAAAAATCAGCATGCTTCTTGCATCGAGGTGATGTGGAAGGGCCCCCAGTTGTGCTGACATGGCTGGATAACGAATGGAGGGACCTCACCTGAACCGAGTCTTGCAGTTTAGGATTTGTTTTTGCTACTTAATTGAAGAGTGGGCCACTCAGCCTAAATAATTTTGTTAGAAGATGTTGGCAGGATAGTTGACTGTAATGTCATCTCTGATATGATTCTACGTGTATGAAAATTCATTCTGTAATATAATACAGCGGATACATTGTCTGTTCGTTTGATACAGTCCAACAATAAAGCAGTTCAGAACCAGTTACCAATTCGACCATGGGATAACTTGTTGTCCCCAAAACATATGCTAGATTGCGCTTTTTCTTTCTCTATTTTCTTTTCATTTTCTCATGCAATTTAGTACCTAAATTTATATACGTATTTCACTATTTTGCTCGGTCTAACTTTTGTTGTTCCATGTGGCTTTTTCTTCGGTCTGGCCATAATGCCTCTCCTCAGATCAAGAAAAGAAAAGTAACTAATCAGACTTCAGTGAGATCCCACGACGAGGTGACGAGGACGAGTCCTGTGCAGGTCAGGGAGCAGGATGTGACGCTGGGGCTCAAGTTCAACGCCAAGGGCACCATAGAGTGCCACAAGGGGGAGCTTGAGGTGCTCCTGGAGTCCCGGGAGCGCCGCCGGGAGATCGCCTTCAACATTGTCGACGGCGATTTCAAGGTACTTGAGGGCAAATGGTGTGTCCAGGAGGTAACATGATCATACCCTCTCCCTGCTGGTCTTGCTCATAATTCAGATTCCCAAATCGGTGTTGCTGAGTTGAATTATACTGCTATGATGCCAGGCACGGAGACGAGCCTAGTTGATAGCCTAGCAGAAGCCTAGGTTCATTGTTATTCTGGAATAAGCAATTTGACTTCAAAGCAGGATCACCTGATTTCATAGAGCAGCCCAGGGTGTATTTGTGGCAATGAACCATGTCAAGCAGCCCAGGGTGTTAAACAGGATTCTAGATGCACTATGTTTGGTCGACTGATGTTTCTGTAATTTCCTGGATCATGGTATAATTTATGGTCCCTCATGACTCTGAAACTCATCTAAGTAATCTGGTTCGCACTTTGATCCTGTGTAGGTCGATGCTACTACTGACGAAGGCGGGGAAGTTCTGATTGGCCAGGAATTTCACACTAGGCTTTCTTATGTGGTGGAGCTGGAGCCTAAGCTCTGGGTTCCAGTCCGGCTACTGGAAGCAAGGATTTGCGAAGAGATCAAAACCAACCTTGTTTGTATCAGAGAAGAAGGAGAGAGGGTCCAAAGATTACTGAAGCAAACTGAGCTGTCGGTTTTCTTGTTCCAACAGTGACGGATTGTCATATACTATAATAGTAGAAACTTCAAAACTGACACGAACATTGAGAATTTCTATTCTAATTCTGTTTTTCTTTCTTGGAACAACTCCAACTGTTTTCTCTTTCCCTGTCATCGTTGTGTTCATTTCAGTGTCATGCATTTTCAGTGGTAACATGAGATGGATACCGAGAGCTTTGTTACAACTTGAGTTCTTGATTATTGTTGAGAGCTCACTTGCTAACAGAGGTGTGTTTAGCCCGAGTTGAGTTATATGCTGCTGGGTCCTTGTGATTCAAGTGCTGTTAGCCTGATAGTGACAGGTGTGCAATCTCACAGGGGATTCAGTAAGTGAAAATGGGCCTGCGTCAGGGGCTGAGGAAGGGCCCCAAAATGTACTGACATGGGTGGGTGACAAACGGAGGGACCTCACCTTAACCCAATCATCATGTAGTTTAGGACCTGTTTTTGCTACACAATTGAAGAGTGGGCAACTCCAGTTTTGTTAGAAGATGGAAATATTTCTGCGAAATCATGGCGTTTCTGAAACTGAAACTGAAACGGAACCCAATCATGGCGTTTCTGAAACTGAAGTATTTCTGCGAAATCGAAATATGAACGGCCATGTGATATGCCGGCCAAGGCAGGACTTCCTCCCACGGCGGCCGTGGCTCACGTTGTGGGGCTTCATGGCCACGGATCTTGCCGACGCGCGCCACCAAGGCGTGTGACTTGCTGGCCAGCGAAAGGCTCCAGCTCCGGTGGTTCGGGGCCGGAGCCGTCGCAGGAATGGAAGGCGTCCACATCCATCTTATGGACGCTGTACCCTTTCGATCTCCCAGTTGTCCATACAACTTTCTGCGTGAATAACTACTTTCTGCGTGAGCACGTAGTGCATACATGATGATGGAATCCGGAGGGAGCTCACAACCACGCCTTCTTCGTGTCCGATTCAGGATTGGACTGGAGAGCAACTCCCAATCCGGCTCGTATACGGTATACCTAGGCGTACCTGACAACATGATTGGATTGGACGGCCGCACTATATATGTATACCTGGCTGGCGAATCCATCAGGACGCATACAACCATCTTCTTTCGACGTACAGGGATCCTGCCGCCGCAGCTTCCAAAATGGCGCGCCAGCAGCCGGACAATGACGAAAGGCCGTACCACTTCGACGCTCAAGGCATCGACACCAAAGCCACCGTCACAATCCAACCATCCACCGTAGAGGCGTGGATATCGCGCGTGTGGGCCAACTTCCTCCGGGACGCCCACAAAAAGCTCGTCGGCCTAGACACCGAGTTCACCAACCCCGTCTTCGGCAAGAGGCAGAAGGACCTGCCCAAGGAGCAGAAGCAGCGCGCCGCCGTGCTCCAGCTCTGCGTCGCCGACGAGTGCCTGGTGTACCACATCGTGCACGCGAGGCACGTGCCGGCAATGCTCAGGAGGTTTCTCGCCGATGAGGACATCGTCTTCTGCGGAGCGGGGATCAGCCAGGACCAGGAGATGCTGGGCTACTACGGGCTGAAGATCGCGTCTTCCTACGACCTGCAGGAGCGCGTCGAGATCCCAAAGAGCGTCTGCAGCAAGCCTACGCCGTCGTTGATTGATCTATCGAATTACTTGCTGGGAACGAAGCTCAGCAAGGACGGGGAGTGCGAGAAGTTGAGGAGGTCGGGATGGGGTGTGTTCCCGTTGACCCTTGAGCGGATCAGATATGCGGCGGTTGACGCTCGGCTGAGCTTCGAGGTCGCTAGGAGGCATTTCCGATATGCTTGCTATGATCGCCCCGGCGACCGCTTCAATTTGGCGTGATTAGATGAAGTAGCATATGCTCCGTTTCTTTAGAATACTGTTTTTGTTGCGTGGACAACATTGTGGTTTTCTACTCTCTTGTGACAAAAGCTAGTGTGTTTCACTCACTTCGTACCACTCCAACAGCCTTTGTACATAATTTCAATCTTGTTTATCACCACTACACGCCTCTCCTTGACTCTTGATTTGGCTTTGTCACCCTATTCCACTCCGTATTACTCTGTTGTCACATAGCCGCCTTGTATATAGAACCACAGTGAATATTAGATGTGGCTTCATTGTAATCTGTGATTGATGGTGGTGCTTTTGTTGAGCGATTGTGCTTTTGGATGCAAATAGCAGAAAAGCACAATAATTAATGAGCTATTTAACCAAAGAACAGGTGCATGACATCGGATAGGTTGGCACAAAGAGGGCTGCTGCACCAGGATAGGTGCTCCCTGTGTGATCAACAAGACAAGTCGATCGACCGCTTCAATTTGTCGTGATTAGATGATGCAGGCTTTGATTTCTTTTAGTATAATGTGAATTTCGTTTATAATCACCCGTGGGTGTTTTATTTCCCCTATGGTTCTAATATTAAGTGTTAGTATGTGTTTTTGCTTGGCTAATTGTTTTTTTGAAAAAGGATATTTTATTGATTCGGAACGAAACATCAAGCCCGACCACTGTATAGATAGGATGCACACAGTCAACGTCAACACACACATACCTTAAACATACCGAAAAAGAGCAAAGTCATATACGACCAAAGCTACGCCTAAGCGAGAAAAAAAATCTGGCAAACTACAACAATGACCATATCGGCACCAACCATCTTTTGACACCGCAAGGACGACGATGTTCTTTAACAATAACGCCTTTAAGAAGGAAATGATGCTCAAGCACAACCGACACCGGATCCAACTACGAAAGGGGAGATTCTAGGTTTCCACCTTGAAGAACAAGTCCGAGAATATCGGAGTAATGCCTGATGACACAAAAACATCGACATTGCCACGTACAACCAAATAGGATCACCTAAGTTTTTCACCCCGAAACTTAAGATAGGGTACTTGAGAAGCACCACCAAATCGAAGTCAATCATGTGTTATCGCCGCCACTTTTTCAAAATCCGAGCAGCTACATGTGATGGGCTAGAAATCCAATCGCAACTCCTGCACAACCATACCTTCTACATGAAGTCATCGACCATAGATTCTACGAGCATAGGTAGGTAGGGCATTGAATAGAGCATGTGCGAGCACCAGATATTCTAGTATACTGGAGATGGTTGTACACGAGAGCGTCTTTGGACCATGGTAGGTCGTATGTACCGGAGGTCCGAAGGGGCGGGATGGTGTAGTTTGACGGATGGACCGCTGATACAGGACCTACATCAGGCATGTACCGTAGGTGGACCAATGTCTCACATAATGCTACCATATGGTAGTACGACCCACACTGGATTTTTGCTATTCACCCGTGTTCACATTCTATTCGTTCCTATGACAGAGAGAGAAGTTCTTATGACCTTTGCTCTTAGTACCATGACCTCGAAACAAGTTTGTAGCCGGATCTTGAGCATCTACAACCGTACCGAGCAAATCTGTGGAGGTACCATATGCAAGCATCCTCATAGCAGTCATGCATTTCTGCAGAGGAGAGAATGCAGGTGTCCACAGTAATCCTTCCTCAACTTGAAATAAGGATCATTTGCCTCCACAACATTCACTATGCGCAAGAACAAATGTTTGCTTATCCGGAACTCATCATGGTATGCAAGTGCATCCTCGA